TCTGAGGCCATTGTGAGGAGGTGGTCCCCGAGGCTCAAATACAGCCAAGACCCTAACTTTTGTGGGGAAAATGAAGGATTCAGACTGAGAAGCGATTTTCCCTGCCAGCAGAACACCCCTAACCTCTTGCTGCTGAGGACATGCTTTGGAGTTCTCAGAACTGCCGAAAGCCATCCTGCTCTGATAACCAGCCCTGCTAAGTTCAGGCCCATCTGTCCCCAGGCTGGCCACAGGCTGATGAATTATTTAGCCTTAGGAATTCATGAAGCCTTTCTCTTTCTGTCAGGGTCTGGTCACTCGCTGACATGCCCTGGGGACAGGCTTCCCCAAATAGACCCAGAAGGACTGGGAAACACCCGACAACAAAAAAATCCGTCAGCAAGTGTACAATGAACAATGACTGTGTGCCTAGGGATGGGGGTTCTAAGCTGTCCCAGGCCTCTTGGTGCTTACATTCTCATGGAGGAAAAGAAAATATAAATAGGTCAGAGTAAATGAAAGGTAACCTTATCTGATTAACAGAGGAAACCATGGTCCTGGGACCTGGGGGGAAGGGAGAGGAGCATGTCCTCCCAGTCACTGTCCTTCAGTCAGTCAGTCGATAAACTATTTACTAAGCACCTACTATGTGTCAGATACTGTCCCAAGTGCTGGGAATACAAAGAAAGGTAAGCTCACAGTCTTAATGATTATTCTCTTTCTCCTTCTTTGTCTCTCTCATCACTTAGTAGCTGTGACCCTGGGCAAGTCGCTTAACCCTGTTTGCCTCAGTTTCCTCATTTGCTTATCTGTATACTTATTTTATCCCCAAGTAGAATGTAGTCATCTTGAGGGCATGACTGTTTTTCAACTTGTCTTTGTATCCCCAGCCAGCACATAGCACACAGTAGGTGTTTCCTAACTATTTACTGAAGCTGTATTGAATAGGGAGGCCTCCCATTCAGACGAGGGTAGAGCTCAGAGCTGGCCTCTCCACGGGCTTCTGATTTCCCATCTGGAACCCAGGCCCAGCAAGACTGTCAAGTCAGACAAGTTAGACTCCACAGTGGTACCAGATGGCTGCCAGCTGCTTAGATTCTGGCCTCGGATACCTCCACAGTATTTTCTCCCCCCACCCCACCCCAGCTCCTTGGCATAATGTGGTCATCTCTCCTTTGATGTTTTAGATGTTTGTCTAGCTGGGAGAATATGTCCAACAGATTATCAGGGGCAGGGGCTCCACAGAGACGGTTCTAGAGCTCATTTCTCCATCTGCGTTTCATCATTTCCATCAAATTTGCTACCTCCTCCACCCAGAGGAGGCACTTTCGGGGGGGGGTGTCTTACGCCCCTCACCTCACCCCACTCGCCTGGGCCTCTTGGCCTAGTTCTCTTTGCTTCACCCCTAGAACGGTTTCTAGCCTGCACACCCATCATCTCCAGCCTCGAGGCTGCTTCCTGACTCCCTTAAGTAGGTCTAGGAAATGGCTGGTGGCTGAGGCTTCCTGAGGCCTCAGGCATACTCACATAATGCCGTGACCTCTTTGGCTGTGTGGCACCACAGCCTCCAGGCCTCTGATTCCTGTCATGCTGAGGAGTCACAATAATGTGAATTGGTGGAGGAAGAACCCCAGCTAGAAAATCACAAGTCCTTGGAGTGTGCTTATGATGCGCTCCCTAGTAGACTGTAAACCCCTTGAGGGCAGGGGCTTTGTGATTTGTGTCCCTCGTAAATATAAAGGCAGACATCTGGCACAAGGAGTTTACATAGATATTTAGAACAGGAATTGTTCTGTAGTTCACAGTCAAGCTGTGATTGGACTCAAGTTCATCTCTAGAGGGAGAAAAGAAGAGGGAGAAGAGGGGAGGGGGAGGGGAAGGGAAGAAAGGGAGGGGGAGAGAGAAGGGAGGAAGGAGAAAGGAGGGAAGAGGAAGGAAGGAGGAGAGAGGAGGAGGAAAACGGAGAGGGGAGAAAGAAGAGAAGGAAAGAGGAGAGAAGAGGGAAGAGAGAGGAGGGAGGAGAGGGGAGGGAGAAGGGGATTCTGGCAGCAGAGTCCCTGATTGGGGAGTGCTGCTGGGAAGGCAGACTATTCCCTGAGGACCCTGGTACTGCATACCGCTGACCCTGAGAGGTGGGGATGTTGGCAAGGGGAACTAGATGGTGGTACCAGGGTGGAAACTGACAAAGGGAGGCAGGGTGGTACAATGGAAAGACCAACGAACTTGGAGTCTTTTGCCAGTTACTGCCAGTGTGACCTTGGGCAAGTTTTAATCTCAGACTCTTTATCTGCAGAATGATGGCAGGTGGTCCCATGGAGGAGAAGGGCACTGGCTCTGGAATCAGAGGAGTGGGCCCACCGTGCTTACTGCCTCAGTGATTTGGGGCCTTCCCTAGGCCTAAGTTTTCTTCTCTGTAAAATAATAGGGTTGAGCTGGATTTTTTTGGAGGAAGTTCAGATCATGTGCCATCCCTCCTCCTCAAGAAATATCCATGGCTCCCTATTGCTTCCAGGATGAAAACACAAATTCTTCTCTGGCATTTAAAGCCCTTTACAATGTTGCTCCAGTCTGCCCTTCCAGGCTTATTACATATTGAGGGCTCTGATTATAGACTAGTCAAACCAGCTGGCTTGCCTTTTGTTTTATGCCACATTCCATCTCCTGCCTGCAAGCCTTTGCCCAGGCTGTCCACCAGAATGCATTCCCTGCTTGCTTCTGCCTCGTGGAATTTTTAGCTTCCTTTGAGGCCAAGCTCAAATACTACCACCTATAGCACCTTTGTCCACCAACCTCCCCCTTCAGCACGAAGTATATTTAATTCAACAAACATTTAGTAGGTACCTATTGTGTGCAAAGTACTGCAGAGGCACAAACAAAAACCCAAAACAGTTCCTGTCTTCAATTCCCTAGTATATGATATACATGGGGAAGGAAATAAACATTTATTAAGCACCTACTTTGTTCAAGACACAACAAATATCTCATTTGATCTTCACAGCAGCCTTGTAGAAGCTATCCCCATTTTACAGCTGAAGAAACTGAGGTTAAGTGTCTGATGCCATATTTGAACTCAGGTCTTCCTGACTCTGCATCACCTAGCTGCCCAATAGAACATACACAAAGTAAAACATTTTGTAAGGGGATGTGAAAACGCTCAACACTATAACAAATGTACAATAAACGATGGTATTTATTAGGTTCCTAGCATGGATAGGGCACTGTCTAGGCACCAGAAGAAAATTTAGAGAAGAGTCCAACACAGAGTGCTGTCTCTGTCTGTCTCTGTTTCTCTGTCTCTGTCTCTCTGTCTCTCCCCCTTTGGAACCCTAAGCAACATCTAAGGAAACGCAGGTGAATTTTCAGAACTACAGAGAAATGTTCATGGGGAAGAAGAAAGGTCTGTGTACACCCTGTGCTCCTAGCCTCAAGGAGATCTTGATAAGGAAGGCCCCCTTCTCCCCAGCCTGCCAAAGTCAAGGTCAGGCTGCCCTGAAGCAGGAGAGGGCTGACCTCGACCCACAGCCAGCCACAGAACTTGGAGTAAACAACTGGGTTGGAGGTGGCCTCACAAATTCTGCTTCCCAGATGGCTCAGGGGGAGTGAGAGCGTGTCAGCCTTCCGGCAGATTAGGAAGGAAAATAGGGAAATAAGTAAGTCTGGGCCACTGACAAGACTTGTCAGAAGGGAAGTAAAATAATATTTTAATGTATTTTAGCTGATTTTTAGCAGGAGGGTGTGTGTGTGTGTGTGTGTGTGTGTGTGTGTGTGTGTTTACACTTATGTACAAACATTCAAGAAGAGGGCTTCTCCCATGGATGGGGGAGGGGGTGCAGAGTGTGTTTCTTGACATTTTTCTTAACTATGAAAGATAGAAATGCAGTTTATTTTCAAGGAAAAAATAGAAATATGGGGCATAATATATATATTTGGCTTAAATTTTTTTTTAGATCAAACACTGTAATGCCCTGCATCTCTGTAATCTGGAGCTGTCTAGGAATTTTTTTCACCCTGGGTTAAAAACTGTTGGGGGTGGGGCATGGTTTGAGAAATGGGTGTGGTCAGACTGCCCTTTTCCCAACCTGCAACCTATCAGGCTTGAGAAGGATGGCAAAACCTGATGGGACCACAGGGATGAGGGAGGGGAGTGGTGCAAACAATCCCCCTTTGCTCCGCCCCCCACACAGCAGCATTAGAATGTAAGCACCAAGAGACCTGGGATGGCTTAGAATCCCCATCCCTAGGCATACACACAGTCATTGTTTAATGTACACTTGCCGATGGCTTTTTCGGAGTTGGGTGCGTCTGAGTCCTTCCGGATCTATTTGGGGAAGCCTATACCCGGGACAGGGGGGGCATATGCGTCAGTGAAGCAAGCATGGGGAATACTGGATGCCATGGGGAAGAAATGTGTCCTCCCAGGAAGGAAGAATCCCACCCCCCACCACCCCCCCGCCAATGTCAGCTTAGTCCTGCTCATCTCATGCTAATCGCGGGTCTGCTAGAACCCAGGAGCCAAGGTTCATCCTCATGCTAGTTTTTGTCTTGCCGGGAGGCCAGTTCTGAAGCTTCCTGTCCTCTTTGAAGTGTTCTTCCCCAACAGGGAGGCTTCCTCATTTGCCGCCTTTTCATTGGTTCCTTTTTGGTCCCTGCTTTCAGGTCAGATCCTTTGTTAGAATATCTCAGAAGGGAGGAAACGGATGCAGATAACCGGGACAATGGGCTTGGTGATAGGACAAGCTCAGACGCCTTGGGCTGAGAGTCACGGGACCAAAGGAGATAGATAACCCATGGAAACCTTAAAAGTGACATCTTAATGCCAGCTGCTGTCATCGCTGTTCTTCCTGTTATCCCAGATCTGGAGTGTGAAGAGACCCTTAGAGGCCATGGAGACCAACACCTTCATTTTTACAGATGAGGAAACTGAGGCCCAGAGAAGTTAGGGGACTTTTCCAAGGTCATACCAGTACTTTCATGTTAGCCAAAGCTTTCAACAGCTTACTTTCCCCCTGCTTTTTTCACAGATGGAACAGAAGGAGCCCAGGAGAATGGACAGGCAATTGTGGCTGACTTCCTTACAGGTATGGAATTTTTTCTTTCCATTTCTACCCACCTGCGCTTCTCCCTAATCATTCCCTACCTATTCCTTCCTCAGCTGCTTGGTCCAGAGAGAAATCAGAGGTTCGAATCCTGGCTTACTGCCTCCGTAACCTGGATCAAATCGTTTTTGATTCCTGGGCTAGGTGAAATTAAGGCGTTGGAATAGATGGTCTTTAAGGTACCTTCCCACTCTAATCTAGGATCCTGTGATTCTATTGGCCACTTAACTTCCACATCTGTAAAATAAGGAAATTGGACTAGATGGCTGGGGAGATTCCGTGCAGCTCTCCATCTGTGGTCTGTGATAAATTAGACCAGGGGTGGGCCTGAGGCCTGAAGGCCACATACAACCTTCTAGGTCCTTGAGTGCAGCCTTTTGACTTAAGCATTTGTTCTGTAAAATTTGGATTTGGTCCAAAAGGCCGAACTTCAGGACCTAAAAGGCCACATGCGGCCTTAGGGCTGCAAGTTCCCCACTCCTGAATTAGATCATTCACTCTCAAGCATCTACTTCTCTGCATAGCTAGGGGCTAGGGTGGTCTCAAAACCTCCCTCACAGGGAGACCCTGGAGACCCTCCTGGTGGGGCAGAGATGCAGTATCACAGTGAGCAGCTCTGCTGAGTGGCAGAATGACTCCCTATCTGGGTTGGGAAACAGGAAACCGGTGTTCTAATGCTCTGCCAGTCAAGGGGTAACCGGTGGCTTAACCCCTTCAAGGCTTTGTCACCCTCCTTATCCTTTCCCTCTATAATGGGCAGGATAACCCCTGCTCCTTTTCCAGGATAGGCACATCTCTCCTGTCCCTTTCGCTCTTTGTCACTAAGGAGCAGAGGCAGGAGAGGTAGCCCAGTAGAGGGATGTTTGTGCTATTACATGAAGAATGGGCAAATCACGTGCAAGATCATATGCAAATAAGCATGGTGGCAATGGGAAAGATTTTGGAAAAAAAAAGACCTCAGTTTCCTTATTTGTAAAAGGCAGGGTTTGACCTCTTTTAAGTTCCCTCCAGCTCCAGATTAATGAGTCTCTGATGATGATTTTATATTTTCCTGGGTAACTAATACCCTGAGAAGTCCAATAATTACAATATTGGTTTATTCTGTTGGGGAATATCAGAAGGAACCTGAGGCCTCTCGGCCACACGTGGCCCTCTGGGTCCTCAAGCGCAGCCCTTTGACCAAATCCAGACTTCAAAACAAATGAAGTTGGGATTCAGTCAAAGGGCTGCACTTAAGGACCTAGAGGGCCATGCGTGGCCAAGAGGCTGCTGCAGGGTCCCCACCCCAGGTTTACACAAATAGGAATTAAGTTAGCAGTTTGAAGGGGGAGGCTGTTTGAATACAACAGAAGCTAGAAATTGGTGACAGATTTGCCAAGTGATTATCCTGGACTTGAAGTAACCCAGTCTCAGAGATTTTCCTGGAGGAGAAAAAAGGAGGAAAAAAAAAGCCCACATTAGAAACAGTGGCAAAGGGGAAAGAAATAACTGAGACAGAAGCAATGGAAAAAATGTTGTATTTGAAATCAGGGCCTGGGTTTGAATCATGGTTCTGTTATTTACTACCTATGTGACCTTGGTTAAGTGACTCTATGGGCCTCAATTTCCTTACCTATAAAATTAGGGGCAGTGAAAGGGAGAAAAGATAATGGCTTGTTAACTGAAAACAGATTAATTTTTTTAAAAAATAAATCAAATAAGAGCATTAGACTTGAAAGCCTCCAAGATTCCTTCTAGTTCTAAATCTGTAAATCAGTGAGAAAATAGCAGAATGAATCAGAGAAGCATCCCCACAGACCCTCTCATTTACAGCACGGGACAGGGGTGTGTGTGCGCAGTACTAAGTCTGGCTTTGGGGGATACAGGACCCTGGCATCATAAGGCCAAGCTCAGGGCTTTCCTCCATCAGCCCACTGGTATATGAAGCATAGCAGGTTAGCACTGATCTTTTCCATTTTTTTTTTCTACAGAGGAAAGGAGCAGGCTTCAGGAAACGATGTTACTCCTGGGACTGGAGACATACTGCAACAGGAAACTCAGCCTCCAGGATGCCCGGCAGATCAGTTTTGACAGTATGAAGAACTGGGCACCCCAGGTGCCCAGTGATTTGCCTTGGAGCTTCCTGAGAAAGCTGTTGGCTCTCAACTCAGAAGTCAGAAACACCACCCTGCTATCGGACTTGCCCCAGGATGACAGGACAGGTGAGAAGGAAATGCAGATGGATGAGCAAGAAATATACTGGGGTACCTCCGAGGACATTTATTCTCTCACTGAACTGGTGACGACCCCCGATGTGCCGCTGAATCCCCTGGACCTACTCTGTGCACTTCTCCTTTGCTCGGACAATTTTCTACAGCAGGAGTTGCTGGTCAAGATGTCTCTTTGCCAGTTTGCCCTCCCTGTAGTCCTGCCGGACTCAGAGAGCCAAAACCACACCTTCCTGCTGTGGGCCCTGAGGGGGGTGATGAGGACGTGGTGGTGGCAATCCCCAGGGGGGCCCAGGACTCTGAGAGAGGAGAGTTTGGTGCTCACGAGGGTACCAATCATCTCCTTTGCACGCATGGACATCAGCAGCCACTCCAAGTCTCACCTCCTCAATGCTGTCATGAGCCCCTGTCACCACCAGCCTCATGACTACTTCTGCCACCGGGAGATGCCATCAGCGGCGAATGCGCGAGAGATCGCCGACGGCTTGGTCGAGATGTCCTGGTACTCTCCAGGAGGCAGCAGCAAAGAGAACACGGACGTTTTCCCAGAACCCGTTGCCTTTGCCAATCTGAGGGGTGAGATTGGAAGTCACTGGCAGCAGTTTAAGCTTCTGACCGAGATGTCATCAGCTGTTTTCATATTAACTGACAACATTGGCCAAAAGGAGTATGAGCTCTTGTGCTCTCTGAGCGGGTCGACCACTCGATATTACCTCATCCTTAGCCCCTACCGGGGCAAACGCAATGCCAACCTGAGGTTCCTGAATAAACTGGTCTCTGTCCTTCAAATGGACTACTCTCACGTCCTGGTGAAGGTCAGCAGCACGGACAGCAAACGCCTCGTCAAGAGGCTCCAGGCCATTGTAGTGAATGTCATCAAATCAGCAAGTAGGAAGGTGTCCCTGGAGGACATGGCAGAAACGGCTCGGACCCTGGGGCTAAAGGTGGATGAGGACTGTGAAGAGTGTCAAAAGGCAAGAGAGCGGGTGGAGAAAATCACCCAAGACATCAAGGACGTGGAGCTGTATAAAAGGGAGAAGCTCTGGTTACAGGGGGACCCTTGGAGAAACATCGCTCAGGTAGAGAAGGAGCTCTGCCGGCTGCAGAGGGCTGGGGACTCTTCTCCAGAGAAATACAAGTCAGAGCTCAGGCAGCGACTGCTGACCCTAAGGATGCACCAGAATCGGTATGAGCCAGGCTGCGGCATGCAGGAGTTTATCAAGGGAATCGCCAACCCTTCCCTCGTAGAGAAGCAGTTCTTCCTGGGATGGATGAAACTGAAGCTGGAGGAGATGGCCAGGCAGAGCCGGCGGCAGCCCCCAGAGGCCTTTGCTACCCTGGGACCAAAGCACAGCCAGCCCGCTGAGCTCAGTGAGCAGCTCTGGCCAGCTTCCTTGGGGGTGGAGCACTTTTTAAGGGAGATGGGGCAGTTTTATGAGGCCGAATGCTACCTCGTGGAGGCGGGGAAGATGGCGGAAAGCCAAAAGCGGTTTACACACTTTGTTGGCCTGGCCTCAGAGCTGGTCCTGAGTGGCTTTCCGCTGGAACTGATGGATCGAGGGACTTGCTGTGTTCCCTTGCGATGGGTGACAGGCATCCTGAGGGAACTTCATGCCCGGCTGGAGGGCAGACCCCGACTGCTGGTGCTCTCAGTGCTGGGAGCAGAGGGCACAGGGAAATCGACTCTACTCAACACCATGTTTGGGCTCCAGTTTGCCACCAGCAGGAGCTACAAACCCCATGGCACTTTCATGCAGCTCATTTCGGTGACAGAGGATTTTCGCCAGGACCTGGGCTGCGACTTCATTCTGGTGATCGACTCTGGGGGCTTGACGGGTGGGGCCACGGCTGCCAGGGGGGAGAGGTATGAGCTAGAGGTGTCCCTGGCCACTCTTGCTATGGGGCTCAGCAATATCACTGTGGTCAGCATGGCCGAAGCCAAGGACACCCCTCTGGCTGCCCTCCATGCCTTTCTGAAGCTTGAAAAGTTGGGGCATGTTCCCAACTGTCAACTTGTGTCTCAGGACCTCAGTGATGGGCCAGTCCCCAGACCCAACCTGAGAGACAGGAAACAGCTGCTAGAACAGCTGAATGATCTGAGCAAGGCTGTCGCTGAGATGGAAAAGCAGGAGAAGGAGCGGACCCTTTCTAAGATGGTCCTGTGCGACCCTGAGAAGCACATTTGGCACATCCCTCGCTTATGGCACGGAGTGCCCCCCATGGCGCCGGTGAGCTTGGGCTACTGCGAAGCCGTCTTTGAGTTGAAGAGATGCCTTCTAGAGAACATCAGAAATGGAGTGTGTCATCAACACAGAGACATCGTACACCTGGTAGAGCTGGTGGGGCGGCTGTGAAGGCAGAGACCCCTGGAAATGAGAGCTGTTGACCAAGCTGCTGGGAGGGACCTCTCCTCATGGGGAATGACGAATGAAGCTTGTGGTCCTGGAGAGACTTCCTGGAGAAAGAGCAGCTGGCGTCTGAGCCTGCTAGAGGAGAGAAAGACGCGGGAAAGAACAGATCAGAAGGTTGGCATCCTCCTAGGACCAGAGAACAAAGCACCCACCAAACCAGCTACTGCACTGACAAGCACAGAGAAAGAGAGAGAGCATTTTTATCAGGAATACAGAAAGCCTCCAACGTCGCTGATCTGAGGGCCCTGAAAGCCTAGGAAGGAAACACTCAAGCAGCTATTTTCTTCTCTGGCTTAGTACCATTCAAGGCTGCTCCCAGGTTGGCAGGCACTTCATAAGGGCTAGCCCCCTTCCATTCTGTCTCCTAGTGGAATGGCATGGTCCTCACCCAGGACAGCCCTGCCTGTCCTAGATGACTGTAAATGCCCAGGGCAGGGGGTGGGGAGGGTAGAGGGAACTGTGCAGAGATAGCCCAATGTCCCCTCTCCTCAGGGGAGGGTCATTCTCTTGTCTGACCAAGGGGTTCAGCATGAATGATGTCCCTGGCTAGAATGAACAGGACTGACATTTTCTGCCAAGGGCCCAAGGGGTACAAAGCACTTTATTTATTGACTTCTCTGCTAATAACGAGTGATAACAGGCAGGTTCTTCTTGTTTGTGCCTTAATTTTCCTATCTCCTAACTGAGAATCCGAATGCCCACCTGATGTGTTAGGAGGATGAATGAGAGTGTGTCTGTAAACTTGGAATACCTCAGAAAGTCACCATAAAAGTGTCACACCTCACTGCTTTCTTGATAGCCAGGAGTCATTCTTTCCCCCAGGATGTCCATGGGATATCTGTGCTGTACTCAGGGTTGCAAATGACCAGGGGGAGGCAGTTTGGGCAGCTGAGAACACTGGAGAAAAAGGAAATGGGACAAAAATACCGAGATGTCTTGGCCAAGACATAGGTAAAATTCCTCATCAGAGGGTAAAGGAAATACTTTTCCACTCAATTCAACACAGGCATTGGTTCAGTCTTGGCCTCTAAAGTACCATCCAGCCCTAAATCTATGACCCCACATGCACAGAAAAAGGTTGCATGGCCAAGGGGGGACCAGCCTTGGATTCAAGAATGAATGGATGGATGGATGGATGGATGGATGGATGGATGGATGGATGGATGGATGGATGGATGAATGAATGAAAAAAGCCCTCATTAAGCCTTAACTATATGCTATGAGTTTGAGAATAAAAAGAAAAATCAAGACAGTCCCTGCTCTCAAGGAGCTCCCACTCCAGTTGGGTTCCTACCTCTGACTGGAACTGGCTCCATGACCCTGAGTAAATCACCTAATATCACGGTGCTCCCACTTATACTTAAGACTATAGTGACCTGTCTGCATGAGCAGATCAAGCAAGCATTCAGTGAAGTGTTAAATGCCTACTATGTGTCAGGTATTGTGCTGAAGATACAAAACCAAAAATGAAACCGTCCCTGCCCTCAAGAAGCTTCCATTCTAACTGGGGTGGGGGTGGGGAGAATGGATCTAGGACTTCCTTGGGGCAGGGGTGAGAAGGGGGTGTTTCCACCCCTGGTAAAGACTGTATTTCCATACCTGTTTCAGTATGAGCTGTTGGTCCATTCATCCTTCATGGACATGGTAGAGGCCTTCCTCGGATTCTCCTCATAGTCAATCAGCATTATAATGCCTATGTACCAGGCACTATACTAAGCAGTGGGGATACAAAGAAAGGCCAAAGACCGTCTCCGCCCTCAATGAGCTCGCAATCTGACGGACGAGATAACACGCAAACAAACGTGCTAACCTGGTAGACACAGGAGAAACAGGAAATAATCAGCAAAGGGAAGGCCCTGGAAGGAAGAGGGATTGAGAAAGGTTTAGGGTGTAGCAGGAGGTACTCAGGATGTCCACCTGTAAATCCTCACTCTTACTGTATGATCAACCCACTTCCTTTCCCATTTATACTTATTTCCTATGATGTCCTTCATGCTCACTTTGACATTCGACTCGGTCAAACCAAGCGTTTATTAAATGCCTACTGTGTGCCAGGCACTGTGCTAAGCTTTTGGGGTTGGTCCCAAGCTGCATTGTACCTACTTTCTCTTTGGTCACTTGTAATTTTGATTCTTCCAAAATCATATTAACATGATAGTATCACAAGGGGAATGCTGGTATGAAAGAGGTGGATTTCCATCATCTTGAGTAGTTTGGGATCATGAGAAAACATAGCCATTTCCCAAATGCAATCCTCCTCCTGCTACTCAATTCCAGGTCCAGACAAGATACACATATTGGTGGACTTCATTCAAAACGCATTTACTAAGTGCCTACCCTGTATTATTTCGATGGACCCTGGAAATACAAAGATGAAAAGAGAAACAGCCCCTGCCCTCAGGGGGCTTCCATTACGCTGGGGAAAAATAGCATGTACACAGATTAAGTCAATGCCAAAAGTATATCAAGTGAATACAAAATAATTTCCCGGGGGGAGGATAGTGAGAAAGCACCAACAAGGCGGGGAATGGGGAAAGGCCTCTCAGAGGAGGTGGCCTAGAAGGAAGCCAGGGATTCCAGAAGGAGGGAAGGCATCTAAGGGATGTGGAACAAACCGTACGATGACATGGAGTCCCAAGGTGGAATGTCACGCAGCGCCAGAATATCGGCTGCATGAAGGCAAGTAACTCGAGACCGGCCTGGAAAGCTCCGCCGAAGCCAGGCTCCGAAGACGAGTCTGCAGCCTGTCCTAGGGGGATTCCACATTCCACCAGCCGGCTGCTCCAGCGCCTTGTCACGGCCCGGATGCTCTCCTTATCCATTCGCTTTCCAGCTTGAGTTCTCTCCTATGGCTGGAATTCGGAGACTTTGTAGTGTCCTGGGGCTCCTCCATTCTGCATTGACATCCCATCTTCACTTTCACACAGCTGACTGAGAGAAGAGGGGTAGAGGATACTGGGTTCCATTGTGTCCTGTTGTGTTAGCGTGTGTGTGTTTTTTTTTAAAGCATTTGAGTCAGCGGAACCAAATACGGCCAGAAGTTCTCAAACAGTGAGTCTTTCGCAGATGCTGTAGAATTAAACAGGAATCAGTGACATATTCGATTACAGAGATAACTTTGTTCAGTGATCCACTAAATATTGACACCAGCTGATGTATACAACAGGGAGAGATACATGGTGGTAGATTTCGAGGCAACAGGGTTTTCCAAAGCCAACTAGTCCAACCCCCTCCTTTTACAGATAGGGAAACTGAGGCCCAGAGAGGGGCAGTGATTTGCCCAAGGTCACACAATGAACAGAAAAGGCAGGTTTAGAAGCCAGGTCCTCTTACTCCAAGAGCTTTTCCTACCGTTCTATGATGCATCATTTAAAGGAACTGCCATTGGCGTGGAAGATGTCCCAAGCAAAGAGCGAACAATGGAAGAGCTTCTCAGTTATGGTGAAGTTCTCCAAATGCTCCTTATTTCCTGGGAAAGGCAAAAGGATGGACTAACATATGGGTCCTGAAATCTAATAATTTATTTGAAAACACATTCAGTACCTGAAATTCCCACCGTCATATAAAACACATACTCAAAATACAAATACAAAAAGGCAACCCTCTTCCTGAGGCTGCCTTCTTCTTTAGATGTTACTGGTTCCTGTTCAGGCTTTCCTGCCTGTCTGCCCATTCCTTGGCTGTTCTCACTGCCTGAGTACCTAAATAACCCAAACACTTGGAGGCTGGCATCTCAACAATCCCAGCAATTAGACAAACACTAGCCTATGATTAGCTCTAAGTGGGGTGACTTTGTTAGCACAGCAGAATTTGCTTGTCCTCATCTCATTTTTCAGTGGCGGTGGTGGGGGCTGCCAGCCAATCTCATCAAGTAATCTTGTATGGCCACCCCAAAGTTACCTTGTCACAGGACGTTAGACTGAGCGCTGGACAGGGCATTCGAGGCTGTCTAGCCCAATGTCCTCATCTTCCAGATGAGGAAGGGAGAGCCAAATGAGTTTATGTGCCCGGCCCCCAAGGTCACAAAGCGGAGTAAATGGCAGAGACAAGATCTTCGAATTTCAAGTCCACTGCACCCAATCGCATGGTTAGGATTTCATTCTCCCTTCCTACTCTGATTATCCAGCCCTGCCCTGATTTCTGGCCTCTGGACACCCACTTCAGCCAGGGAAGCCGCCTTGCCCATCCACGTTCCAAGAGCTTGTCTGGCCGTTGGGAGGAAATAATACACACAGGGACCCTAGCTCACACAGTCGGGGACTTGATATTGAGTTTCAAGCCTACTGTCCAGACTCACTGTAAGGATTCTGACCCCTTCCTGCTGTGATAGGTGGTGTAGTGGGTAGAAAGCTAGGCTTGAGGTGAGGGAAACCTTAGTTCAGATCCAGCTTCTGATACTTACTAGCTGTGTGACCCTAGCCAAGTCACTTAAATTCTCATTTGCCTCAGTTTCTTCATCTGTAAAATGGGGATAATAATAGCACCTACCTCCCAAGGGTTGTTGCAAAGATCAAATGAGATAATAATTATAAAGCATAGTTCTTGGCTTTACAAATGTAAAGCTTTTATTATAACACATATTATTAATATAATAATTATTATTATTATTTCCCCTGCCTGGGTTCTGTTGCATCTGGTTCAGCTGACTAGCGTTACTGGGTTACATAAACCCAAGGCTGCTGGTGGGGCTTAGAAGGTATTGATCATTAAGAGTGTCGCAACTCTAAGCGATGAGTGTCTCTCCCAACTCCTACTTACACTGGCAAGCTGGGTCCCCAAAAGGAGCCTCCATTCAGAGTCTAAGGGTAACCTTGACAAAGTGGACGTCCAGGGGGTCTACATGCTGCTATCAGAGTTTGGGGCTTTTTTGAGTTTGCAGTCTGTGGGTTATAACAACCAAGGGAGGTCTTGAGCCAGCAGGAACAGCTGAGGCTTCTCTGCTTGAGCTAGGCCCTGTATGACCAGCCTCCCTGAATTTAAAAGGCTTTTCTGGTTTGTGCTTAGGATGCCTCGTTGTCACCTTCTCTGGGCAGCAGTGTCTATGGGGGCATTCCTTCTCTCCCACTCTTTCCTTCTTGCTACCATTGTCCTCTGAGGGTTAGATCAAATCTCTTGTCTGGGGACCCTAACAGCTTCTTGATCTCTGAGGCCTTGCTACCGGATCTTCTAACCTACCGCCTGCCTCTGCCCTGGGGAATCCACTTAATCTCCCATGGCTTGGCCTCCAGAACTCTAACTACTGCCTGGCTCTAACTATTGGCACCCTCCTCGTGGACTGTCGCCAGGCCTCAGAGCCACAACGACCATTGATGTCCAGGCCCAACCCTAAGACAGTGTGGTACAGAAGGCAGTGCACACGACCTAGCATCAGGAAAAACCTGGGTTCAAATACCACTTCTTATATTTACTAGCTGTGTGACCATAGGAAAGCTACTTAAGGTCTCCGAGCCTCAGCTGCTTCATCTGTAAGATGAGGGGATTGAACTAGATGCCCTCAAAGGTTCCATCCAGCTTGAAACTTGATTCTATGATTCCATCTCTCCCAAGATGACCCCCCCCTTGCTTTTTTTCCCCCTTCAGTTCTCTTGATCCTACTTCTTTTCCTGGGACCAAAAGCACCGGCAAAGAGCACTGATGGTATGGTGACCCATTATCTCAGACCCTGGCCAAGCCCTCCTGGAGCTCACCCTCCATGATCTAATAACCAAACACTGTCCTGCGTCTGGGTCTCTGGATCCAGGGGTTGGATAAAAGGCCTCCATTCTCCATCTTCCCGTCATTGGGGTTTTTGTCCTTATCTGAGCCGAGGAGTCAAAGATGAGCCCTGGAGCTGTCCGAAAGTGGAATGGACTTCCCCTCCTTGGAGTTCTCCAGGAAGGAGCCGAACCCCCTGTTGGGTATATTATAATGGGGCTGTTCAGCCATTTTTCAGCTGTGTCCAACTCCTCATGATCGTTTGGAGTTTTCTTGGCAGAGATACTGGAGTCATTTGCAATTTCTTTCTCCAGCCCATTTGACAGATGAGGAAACTGAAGCAAACAGGATTAAGTGACCTGCCCAAGGTTACATAGCTAGTAAGTGTCTGAGACTGGATTTGAACTCAGAAAGATGAGCCTTCCTGATTCTAAGACCCGTACTCTGTGCATCATAGCGCCACTTAGCTGCCCATTATAATGGGCATTCCTTTCCTATACCGGCTGGACCATATGGCAGCTGAGATGCCATCCCACTGCGATTCTGTGATATCTTCTAATGTGGCTCCCTTTCTGTCACCTGGAGCTGGATCACGGCCAGTTGTCTTGACACGTCTTGCCCTGCAGTCCAATGATTCTGCAGGACAGAGTGAGACTGGTGACTTTGCACAGCCCTGCCTGATTTAAATCCAATTCACTTGCAAGTCAAGACATCATCCTCACTGGTCCTCTTTGAGAATGGACAAACAACATCACCTGGACCATAGAACCTTCCTTACCATCTATGTCTAAAAAGCAGCTTCCTACTACATTTTTACCCTCCTTCAAAGCCAGAAGAGTTCCCTGGACTCCAGGGTTCAAGAACACCCAGCGTCCCCCAATCTGAAGCCCATGGTGGCTTGTGAAGGGCATCAGAAACCTTCCTCTACTGACTTCTTCAAGTCCCAGAAACCTTCACCTGTTGGTCCCCCTCATATCTGGTAAACTTCCACTGTTTTCTAGCTGTCTTCTTTCAGTCTTTGGAGGGGGGCGCTCCTCATCTACATGAACCCCTAAAGATAACCTGAGATCTCAAAAACCTATTTTGACTATTGATGGTAGGTCTAGGAAAAGTCTTCTCCCTGGGCCCCAGAAAAGAGTTTCTGATACTCCTGAACTCTACAGGCCTGTGATTGCTTCAGCTTGGGCTCTCCGTATTCCCTCAGTGATAGAAGATTTCTTCTTAGCAGTTAGGAGACACAATGGGTAGAATGCGGGACTTCAGTCAGGAAGACCCCAGTTCAAATCCTACCTCAGACACTTGCTAACTGTATGACCCTGTATAGCAAGTCCTTAACCTCAGTCTGCCTCAGTTTCCTAGTCTATAAATGGCAACTGAGGTCTCAGGATTGTGAGGATCAGATGAGATCCCACTGGTAAAGTGTTTCACAAACTTTCAAAAGCCATGGAAGTGCTAGACAGGATCACTGTGATTGCTGTGGAAACTGCCAAACCTGCCCCTGTTTCTCTAGGTCACAGAAACCTCCCCAGTTCCTTCACCAGCATTATAGGAAATTATTTTGATATCTTTGGAACCCCCAAGCACTGTCTGGTTTGTTCCAAGACCCAGAATCCTTCTCCCTTTAGAAAATCCTTGAGCCAAACTTCAGCTGGTTCCCCCGACCCATCAGGACTGGTTCCAGCTTCTCTGCCTGAGCCTTGGGAGAGGTCCGCAACCTAAGCAACAGAAACCTGAAAACCAGTCCTGGTCTCAGTTCTTGAAATGTCTAGAAACTTAGGCTGGCTCGCCCTCCTTAAGGTGGTAAAATGAGCTATTATCTCATCTGATGTTCACAGCAACCCTGAGTGATGGGTGCTATTATTATCCCCATTTTACAGATGAGGAAACTGAGGCAGGCAGAAATCAAGTGACTCGTCCAGGGTCACACAGCTAGCAAGTGTCTGAGCAGGATCTGAACTTAGGTCTTCCTGACTCCAAGTCCAGTGCCCTATCCACTGTCCCACCTAGCTGCCTGACATATTATTATTCCCATGTTATAGATGAGGAAGTTAAGTGACTTGTCAGGCAGGATTTGAATTCAGGTCTTCCCTGCTCCAAGTGCAGAACTCCTTGCTGCGGACCTTCAGGGTTCTCTCCACTGCACCAGATGACAGGTCACCCCCTCTTCCCATGCAGGTTAATCCATTGTCTGGCTTCCTCCCCATCTCACCTCCTGCTTCCCTTCAGCCTCTGGGCTGACCTTTCCTTGGGGCCCTCTCCTCTCTTACTCCTCCAGCAGGAAGCACACAAAGGGTTTCCTGTGGGAGGCCTCGGTTTCAAGGCCACCTTGCAGCCCTGGGGGGTTGGTCTGCTTCTGTTCCAATCCCAGACCTTGCTCTCAGAGGCTGCTTTTGCTTCGTAGCCTTGCTCCTGCCTACTTTCAGCACAGGACAGAGTGGGGCCCTGAAGGACAGGGTGGGCCCAAGTACAATGGGACGATTCATCTTGGGACACAGCTGAGGTGCCAGGACAGATGGAAATGCCCAAGTCAGAGGAGGGCAAGGGCATCGACATGAGCCAGGTAAGGAGGCAGCTGGTGTACCTTGGATCAGACTGGCCTCAACATGGCAGTGAGTGGGGCAAAGGAGAGGGCATCTGAGGCTAGCAGGGGCAGGCAGTTGCAGGGCCTGCGGTACAGGGGTCCTGGGACTCTCTCCTCTTGTAGCTCCACCGTGGTTAGTGTGCATGTGAGGAGTATTCAGAGATGTCTATATAGTATAAAAGGGAGGATACACACAGAGAGGCATGCCCCCAAACTGGAGGTGTAAAGTCATGATGATGCTGCGCTTGCGGGCCAGCTTACCTGAAATGTGCCTGCTGGGTTGACTTTTTAAAGATGGGCCACATGGGAGCAGGTACTGAGTGGCTTCACCTGGCACCAGTCGGTGCCTAAGGCCCAGAAAAAAGGCCCTACAAGGGACCAAGCCCTTCCTTCCCCTAGCCCAGCCCACCTGATGCCCCATGCCCATCAGGCATGGGACACCCTCTCCTAGTTGGATGCTAGCCCCTTATCCCCATTCCCATGGGAAATAATCCAGAGTCCTGCTGTAGTATACCTCTGTAGACCCCACTATACCCTTCCCAACAGCCATGGATTAGGGCTGTTCTACGAAATGCATGAACAGGGAGGTGGCAACTATAATCCTTTGCGAAGTAAGACAGTGGACCAGCAGGCTTCACCCTGTGCCCTGACACAGTTCACTAAGGTCTGTTGAATCTTATGATCTGGGGGATCAGGAAAAAGCTCATGTAGGAAGTGATGCTTGAGCTAAGCTTTAAAGGAAAGTGGAGATTCTAAGAGACAGACCCGAGGAGAAAATGGAGATAATTAATCTAAATGTCCATGATTTGGTGTGACCCTAGGAATCTGCCTTAACATTTCTACAATTCAGATTTACTCTTTCCAAAATGGAGGAACTAAATACAGAAATCAATTGTCAAGAAAGTCACAGAATCAGAGATTTTTAGAGCTGCAAGAAACTTTCAAGGTCACACCTGACCTCCTCAACAACAGAAAAGAGTGCCAGACTCAGAGTCAGGAGACCTAAGTTCCAATCCCGCCTCTCTCAGAGCTATTTTTTTTTTATCTTTTCTAGGCCCTAGTCTCCTCATTTTATAACAGAGAAGAGTGAATGCTATGACATCCAAGGCCCCTGCTAGCTCTAAGACTGTGTGATCCTATACTAAACTGAGGCCCACACAGGTCAAGCGACTTGCCCAAAGTCACATAGTAGGAAATGTCAAGGTCAAGATTTGAACTTGGGTCCTTGGATGCCAAATCCATTGATTTTTCCATTGATCCATTTGATGTCTAGACTATCATGGCTGAAACTGAAAGTCTTACAATGCAATGGATGAGCAACCAGGTCATGATGCGGTAAATGTCTTGCCCCCTCTTTCCCTGAGATCAGCTTCTATGGGACATCAGGAAGTGAACAGATAACACGTTTCAGGAGGTAGCAGACCCTGGAGGAGTTCTCTATCCCAGGCCATAGTACCCGTTTGTCCATACTACAAAGGTTCCCCAGGACAATGGGAAAATTCCAGATCTACTATTCAATTTCAAATGGTCCAGGTGGTCCCAGAGAAAACTGGACCACAGGTACAGGCCATCTTGGCTGTATCCATAGCTACAGGGAAATTCCAGAACTGACCTAGTTTCTCAGACACTCACCCAAATCAGAGTTTCACAATCAATCAATGGATAATATTTATTTATCACAATAAACTTTGTCAGGGGTGAAGGGAATCTTTTGAGGTTGGGGTCAAGAAAACCAGAGTCACAGGAGCTGGATTCAAATGTTAACTGTGTTTCTTACCTGTATAACCTTGAGTAAGCTCCTTATCCTCTCTAGCTTTAGTTCTTTATCTAGAAAATGAGGGGGTTCAATTAAATTACTTCTACCCTGCCCTCTTCCAAGTCCAAGTTTTATGCTTATGGGTTCAAGCTGTACCCTAGGACTTATTTGCTAAGGATAGAAGAATTTCCCTTACTGACACCCCATTGAATTTATAGATCTTTCTTGTATCTACATACTTCATATGGGGTTTCATTTGTTGAGAAGGGTCTGTTGTATCCAAAAAAATAAAAGTGGCTATAGCCACCAGATGGAGCTGTCTGGCAAGGTTTGAGTGAGACATAGAAAATTAAGCCTCTGCCCTCATCTCCTTGGAAATTTGCCTATGATTACTGCCCGTGTGTGACCACACCTGTTTTTCTCTCTCAGATGGTTATGTGGCTAGTCACCACCATGATAAATTTTACCCCTATGGGGGCACAGGGAAAAAAGTTAGGTGGAGGAGTAGAGGTGTGGGGACAAGTTATCTGATAGTCCCAGCCCTAATGCAGAAAGCAAAAGATGGTTCTTCACCTGGTTTTCAAAGGAGGGAGGTGATGGTGAATCTAATTTAGCTCCTTTTTTAGGAAGTTTATCAAAATCAGAAATCAAAATCATTGAATTTCTCAGTACTTTGCTGTGGGCCCCCAGCAAGTGAAAATTCTCATATTTTGGTCTGAGGTTTAGGTTCCATGTATTCTCATCTATTCATTCATTCCTTCATTGCAATTTCCCTATAAAGAACCAAGCAAGAATATACACAAATCAAAATACATCAGATTTTATAATGAGTTGGCCTTGAAAAAATACTCCTTTAAATAGTAAAATGTTAAAGGAGAGAAAACTCTGAGTTATACATACACCCTCTGTGTCAGAAAGGAAGGGGAAAAAAATGGCTTCCCTGACAGCCTGAATTTTTAGCCATGGGAAAGTTCACCAGTGCTAGGATACTACCCAGTCAATCAGTCAATAAACATTTATTAAGCACCAACTATGTGCCAGGAACTGTGATAAGTGCTGTAGACACAAAGAAAGGCAAAAGATAGTCCCTGCCCTCAAGGAGCTTACACTCTAATGGGGGGAGTCAACAAGCTAAGTACAAACAAGCTATACATAGAACAAATAGAAAATAATTAAAAGATGGGAAGTGCTAGAATTAATCGGGATTGGGGAGGCTTCCTGCAGGAGATGGGACTTGAAGAAAGCCAGGGAAGCCAGAGGCAGAAGTGAGGGGGACAGTACTCCAGCCAGCGGTGAAATCCAGAGAAAACTCCCAGAGCCCACAGTGATGGAATGTCTTGTTGGTGTAACAGCAAGGAGGCCAGTGGTACCGAGTATCGGGGAGGGTGAGGATACGGCATAAGAGGGCGACGTTCTCCCCATTTACGCAGGAGCAAACTCAAGCTCAAGTACTTTCCCAAGATTACACAACTGAGAAGTGTTGGAAGGAGGATTCCTTCATTCATCACCAGGTGCCCGTCCCTACGCACGTACAGAAGACATAAAGATAAAACGATGAAAGGGCTCCTCCCCTTAGGGAGCTTCCATTCTACTGGGTCTCCTAGCACTAAATCTGGTACACTTTCTACCATCTCACACACAGGGTGAGAGGGAAGGTAAACGGAGAAGGTTTAGGTGTAAAAAGGTCACCCAGGGAGGAAAGTGAAGTCAGGAAACGATCTGAGGTGTGAGCAAGGGCTAAGAAAAGCCCAGGGAGTGACCAGGAGGGACCAGAATTCTAAACTGGGGGAGGAAAAAAGGCAACTGGGAGGATTTTTCTGGAAAAGGTCCAAAGTTAAAAAAAAAAGGGGGGGGGAATAATATTGCAGATTAGAAAAAGGTTTTTTTTCCTTCCTGGGTGCTGCAGTAGACACATAACGCTGGGTCAGGAGTCAGGAAGACCCGAGTTCAAATCTGGCCTCGGACATTTGCCAGCTATGTGGCCTTGAGCAAATCTCTTAACTGAAGCTGTCTGCCTCAGTTTCCTCTACTGTAAAATGAGTATAATAATAGCAGCAACCTTCCAGGATTGTTGTGAGGATCAAATGAGGTATTTTGTAAAGCACTTAGCACAGTTCCCGCCCCGCACTTAGGAGGTGCTGAATAAATATGCTTATTGACCGGCTGAAGAGTCAGGAGAGTGACTAGTCCCAGGACTATTCTGTCTGAATCTCCATCAAAAAAGATGAAAACAACAACATAACAATAATACCCACAGTGGACAAGTGGATAGAGTGTGAGGCCTGGAGTCAGGAAGACTCTTCTTCCCGGATTTCAAATCCAGCCTCAGACACTTCCTAGTTGTGTGACCTTGGACAAGTCACTTCACCCTCTTTGCCTCCATTTCCCCATCTGTAAAATGAGCTGGAGAAGGAAATGGCAAACCACTCCAGCATCTTTTCCAAGAAAACCCTAAATGGGGTCATGAAGAGGTAGACACCACCAAACACAACCTTTCCTAAAGGAATTCCCACAGGAAAGAAAACATTTCCAGATGCTCACTCCTCTAATGGTGCCTTTGGCCAAATCCTTTAGATAAAAGTGTCCGATTTTCTTCATTTTTTCCTCTTCCTTTACTAACACTTAGGGGTTCATAATGACAGCTTACACCAATTTTGCATAGAATCATAGAATTTGAGCTGGAAGCAATCTTTTTTTTTTAATAGATGATGGAAGCCAGGGTCCAGGAGCATGGTCACCCCCCTAACATTACAAGCTGACAGTTACTGGAAAAACTGGGCGGCGTCCCAGGCGTCCCAGGCTCCAAGCTCAGAGTTCCGGTTTCCACACTAGAGCGACCAGCAGGTGGTGCTAGGGAGCAAAACCTGGCTGGGTCTGGCCTTCTTGTTTTTTTTTTTTTCAAACTTCCTCCTTCCCTATAAAAAAGGGACAAAGGAAATTGTTTCCAGATCATGCTTTTCTCCTGGCAGAGGCCCTGGGCAGGACCTTCCCTTTGGCACTTCCTCCATCCTGCTCTTCTCTGACAGGAGACCCCAGTCTCTAATGACAATAGCTCACCATGGCCTGGTGCCATATTGCTCTGGGTGTGCATGAGTCTCTCCTGCCATTTTGGGAGTTTATAGAATTGTTAATTAAATCTAACTGTATGATCTCACAGTTAGCTTGTGCAATCTCCAGTGAGGGGGCAGGGAAACCTAATGTTTTGGCTATATAGATAGCATGCTACCTGTCACATTGTAACCTCTCAGTAAATCTTTTCTGGGTGTTTCCAACTAGCCATTGGCATCCTCCATTTCTGCCTTTCCCAGCTCGAAATTAAGGCACAGATATGTAGCACAAAGCTGTTATGGTTAATTATAAAAATTAATTAAATTGTAAATTATAACAGACAAAACTCAGGAGTAAATAAATAAATGACTGACTTTTTGTAAGTGGCTACAAGACAACAAGGGAAAGAGCGGAACTGAAGCCTTTCCTGTCATCCCTCAGTTCTTAGGGCTGAGGGCTCAGGGTCCTTCATCCTCAGCAGCTTCAGTCTGAATTCTTTGTTCCACTGATCAAAGGCCTGGCCGGCAGAAGGACCCAAGGGCCTGAATTAGGCCATCTTGCTGGCCCAGCTGCTCCCACTGAAAGACTCTTCCCTCAAGCTTGGCTAAAAACTTCCTGCAGGACTGGTCTGCCCCTCTCTCCCCCTTTAAAGCCCATTCCCTTTGGAAGTGGGAGAACACTGTCTCTAGGGGACTACAGACCCCAGTGTTCCAGGCTCTCAACCCCCCCACTCTAATCTAGGGGAAAATCAGTCTGATCTCAAGGAAACTCACGCCCAAATGCCCAGTTCTACTAGGAATCTCCCCCCTTGTTTGGGCTGGTCCAACATTCCTCCAGCAGAAGGGGCTCACCATTCTGGAGCGTGGGGGGGGGGAGTCATGGAATCCTTACACCTCGAGAACAGAAGGAACTTGAGACATCATCCCCCCCCCCCCCGTCCAGGGGCCTCCATTATTGCTAATATTCCTGCTGGCTCTAAAGTTCATGCTGCTATGATCTAGAATTCAGATTCTAGACTATCCCCTCAGGCCTCGAAAGGAAGACTCTATTGCTGAAAGTGGAATCATTATTAATTGGCAGCCCTAAGTCCAGTGCTCGTGCCTGAAGGTTATGCCATCTAATGGAAGTTTCCTCATCTGTAAAATGGGCCACATGAATATTTACATTATACACATCACTAGCTTGTGGGGAAAGCACTTTGTTAACCTTTATTTTTGTTCACTCATTCAGTCTCCTCGGACTCTTTGTGATCTCATCCCTGGGGGTTTTTAGGCCATTTCCTTCTCCAGCGTGTCCCCATTTTACAGAGGAGGAATAAATGGGGTGAAGTGACTTGCCCAGGGTCACACAGCTAGTCAGTGTCTGAGGCCACATTTGAACTCGGATCTTCCTAACTCCAGGCCTGGCACTCTATCCACTGCAACACCAAACTGTCCTTGTAAATCTTAAAGTAGAATTGAAAAATGAGTTATAATCATCATCAATTATTATTATCATCATCTCTATAAGAGGCAGAAAATAGTAATGGATAGAGAGCCAGAAGACCGGGCTCCAGCCTCTGACACCTCTAGCCTGGGTCACTGGTGGTCACTCTCTGGGCCTACAAGTTCCAGAGAAGGGTCCCGGAAGTGCCTCAAGGTTCCAAGAGAGGGGGAAGGGGGAGGGGAGGGGCAGGGTTCTTGCCCAGCTAGGTGGGGAGAGGACTTCAGTAATGCCCTAAGACAGGCCTGGCAGAGATCACACAGTGAGCAAATTGCAGATACTCAAGTTCAGGAGCAGGAGAGCTCTGACCCAGTCACAGCCCCCATCAGTGCAAGGGGGAGGACTTCTCTGGCCAATGACTGTCAAGTTGGCCCTTTACAAACTGCAAGTCTCTGGGCCAATGGGAAGCACTGGAAAGTAGCCTTCTTAAGAATAAGCAGAGGGGCAGCTAGGTGGCACAGTGGATAGAGCACTGGCCCTGGAGTGAGGAGGACCTGAGTTCAAATCCAGCCTCAGACAGGTAACACTCACTAGCTGTGTAACTCTGGGCAAGTCACTTAACCCTAACTGCCTTACACACACACACAAAAAAAACCACAGGCTGTTCTATTTAGATGATGATGATAACAACAGCTAGCATTTAAATATCGCTTTAAGGTTTGCAAAATGCTTCACAATTATCTCATTCTACCACCCATTTCACCCATTTCACCGATGTCTTGCCCAGGGTCAAACAGCTGCATTTGAACTCGGGTCTGCCTAGCTGGCTGCGTCACTGTATCCCAGGCACTAGCACGTACATAATGGGCAATTATTTACAGGCTATCTCCTGGGTCATAGATTTAGAGCTGGAAAAGACTTTGGAGTAAAATTCAAAGAAATAGAGGGAGGAACTGGTCGTGAAGTGGCTTAAGTAGGATTTGAACTCAGGACTTCTAGCCAAGGGGCTATCTACCTTGACTATAAAGCAAAATGCACTTTGGCACCCTTAAAAGCCGCTGGTAAATGGTAGCTATTATTGCAGTCCCGGCGTGTGGAGAGGCTTCCCCGTTAGGTCATCATTAATCTCCTCTCACTGAAGGAAATAGAAGCCACGCCCATTTCCTCATCCTCTCGCAGCGCACAGAGCGCAGGGTCTGGTTCTGAGACTGGAAACGTTTCTCCTTTGGACTCCGCGAGATAGAATGATCCGCCTCTACCCCTCCCAATTCTGTCTCAATTGGTCTCGCCCGCCCTAGGCCTCTCGCTGACCCCAGACCGTACCTCTAGCTTCCAAAAGAAGGGGGGAGGATGTTCCACTAAGCTCTAAGTTGACGAGGCTTCAGGCCATTGCAGTCACTCCTTTCAGCAAGCTGCCCCTCTTTCTAGGCCTTCCCCTTTCTCGAAACGTTGCCTGCTCCTCTCCAGGAACGCACCGGAAGCGTCGGCTCCTTCCCGCAGGGTTTACCCCCCCATCCACTTGGTATAGCCCCGGCGTCCTCCGCACCTCCCCCCCGCCGTCCGATGCCTGTCCCAAGATGGCGGCGCCCTTGTGCGGCGGCCGGTTCGGACTGCGGGTGAGTGGGGCTGCGCGAGAGGCGGCACGGGGCGGGGGGTGCGTGGTCTCGCATCCTGCACGTCACTTTTCTCCTCTCTTCTCACCCCAGGTGGCCGTCGCCGGGGTCCCAGAGGTGCTGTTCGTCTGCCGCGGCGTCCACACTACCGCTGTTTGTTGTAAGGTGAGGCGAGGGGGGAGGGGAGCGCGCGTGGGGGTTGGGGGAGGGAGAAGGGGCGTGCCCCTGGAGGGCAGCGGTCTCGCGGGAAGAGGGCGAGGATCGAACACTTTGGGGGAGGAGGAGCGTGTACTCCGTGGGGGGGGGTGCCCACGCGGGAAGGGGCGCGAGTGGGGGGGGCATGGAAGCTCCAGGTCGTGACGTCGGCTCCTCCCCAGAACCGAGCGGCCCGGGTCCGAGTGGGCAAGGGGGACAAGCCGGTGACCTACGAGCAGGCCCATCCCCCACACTACATCGCTCACCGCAAGGGCTGGCTGTCTCTGCACACGAGTAAGTGGGGACCCCTCCCCCCAGGTCGCAGGTCTGGGTGCCCCTGGAGGGGAGAGGGGCGCTCTGCTCCCACCTTCCACGGTCTCCGCGTCGGCGACCCCCCCTCCAGGGCGGAGTGTAAGGCTGGCCTCTCCCACTGATCTCCATCTACCCCTTCCGTGACCCCCCCCAAAAATCCCCCGACAACCCTGACACCCTCCCCCAAGCAGGGACAGAGCACCGTCCTGGCCCCCCCACCTCGTGCTTCCTGCTGAAATCTGGGGCCCTTTTCACCCGATAAGGAGGAGGGCCCCTTATTGCAGCCGAGAGTTGGGGAGCCCCGCACCCCCCAGGTGGTCCGTGGGCCAGGGGCGGGGTGGGGTGCTCAGGGTCCTTCATCCCCAGGTAACCTGGACGGAGAGGAGGGGGCTGCGGAGAGGACGGTGGAGGACGTGTTCCTCCGCAAGTTCCTGTACGGCACCTTCCCAGGCTGCCTGGCCGATGAGGTGGTCATTAAGCGCCAGGCCAACCAGCTGGTCATCTGCTTGCTGCTGCTGCAGCGCATGCAGCCCTCCAAGCTGTACTTCCTGGTGGGCTACAGCGAGGAGCTGCTGTCCACTTTCTACAAGTGCCCCGTGCGCCTGAGCCTGCAGACGCTGCCCACCAAGGTCGTCTACAAGTACATCTAGGGCCTGCCCAGCCCAGTGGGTGTGGACCCTCTGGCGTTGGGACTGAGGGACTGGGTCTCGGTCATCACGGCTACCGGAGAAAGGGCTACCGAAGAAAGGGCTACCGAAGAAAGGGCCCGTGTTCATCAAGAGGGCGGTGGTCTTCCAAGTAGGGATCGTGATTTCTTGGTAATTAACGTGCATAATAAAGCTTTTTGTTTCTGGTATGTTCTTGTCCCAAAGGAAGAGATCTGGTCCTTTTAGATGAGCCTGAATGAATGAATCAAGGAGTGTACACTGGGCCTTTACTGTGTTCTAAGCACCCACGCTATGGATAGAAAATTGAGGCAGCAAGACCTTGTGGGGGGGGGTGCAGCTGCAGAGCACAAAGAAGGGGCAGGTGGTCAGGGTCAGGCATTGGGAGAGCCTTGGCCCTGAGGATTGAGGATTAGAGCTGTGGACAATGGTTAACTAAATATTTCAAAGAATGGTAGGTTTTAGTAATAACCCCTTGAAGCCTCCTGTGGACTAAAAGCTGGGCATTCCTTGTCTTGTAGATTTAAAATTGGACAGGAGAGGGATCGACCATTCCAGCCTCTCATTTAACAGATGAAGAGATCGAAGTCACAGACAAGTATTAAATAGCTGAGCCATGGCCTCTTTTCCCAGGCATTGCTAGCATCCTTTCCACCGTATGGTGCGTTCTCTAACAGTACACTGTTTTCCCTCCATCTCTCCATGTTTCCACCTCTTTCTCTTTCCTTTGTCTACCCTGTCTCATGTTGCTTTATCCCATGTCTCTGTCTCTGTCCAGGTCTTAGTGAGGGTGAGGTGAGGGGATGACGTAGTTCCTTTCTGTGCTACTCTTATGCCAAATAAGGGTCCTCTCTCTTTAACTGTCCATAATTAGAATATTCTTTAGTTAGTAGGAAACGGAAGGAGATGCCACTGACTTCTAACAGGATGGAAGCCACAGTGCCCATTAGGGAAGGGGTCAATCACTTCTACAGTCTCCCAGAACTGCTGGATCTGCAGTGTGGTCATTTCCTCTAGAGAGGCAGTGGGTGTGGTCCAGTGGAAGGAGGGCTGACTTTGGAGGCAGGAGTTGAACTTGAATTCTGCTGTTTAACTTCCTGTGTGTCCTTCGGTGTAGTCTTTCCTTTCTCTGGGTCTTATTTGCCCCATCTACAAGATGAGAGAGTTAGCAGTGTGACCTCTCAGCTCCCTTTCAGCTCTAAATGTGTAACTATAATCTTGGGAAAGTCAGTGAACTGATCATCTGTGGAAAGGGGGATAGTAATAATACTCATGTTACCTATTTTCCGAGGTGATAACTTTAAAGATATCTTAACAATGTGAGCTAATGAATATCCTTTGCCCACAGACTTTGGTTGTGTGCTATGCATTGTTTTTGTGTAGTGTCCACATACTTAACAGTGAGTCACAGAGAAGGATTTGGGGTTGATTCAGAGTGAGAAATTCCGAGGGTAGTAACCATTACTAGAAAAGTCTGAGGCATATAAAGGTTAATCACCCTGCCCAGGGTATCAGAAGCAGGATTTAAACTCAAGTTGAAACCATCATTGTCCTTTATACCATGCTCCCTCTTAATGGGTGATAGATGGATCTCTTCAGAAGAGGGGTGTGTTATTCCAAGCAGGAAGGCTGGGCTTTGGTGTGAAGGACAGGGAGAACAACAGCTGTCACTAATCCCCCTAATGAAGGAACCAGTCTTTTCCGTTCTGAGCTTGCCAATAGCTTTGTCAAAATGAAACTAGCCCAGGCTCCTGGGCTGGTCTGCCTGCAGTGGCCTTTGTGTACAGCTAAGCTGACCATGTTGGCCAGACTGAGACCCAAGAGAGCCAGGCGAGACTTCGTTGTGACTGGTCTGAAGTTGAATAGCCAGGGACTTACTTGGGGCCAGAAGAAAGTCCCAAGGCCTTCCTTAGATGGTGAAATTGAAGACAAAGAAAGCGTCATCTTTGCCCAAATGGAAAGTGGGAGAAAGCTCACGTTCACTATGCTGCATCTTTAGTATAAATAACCAGTATCCCTGATGCTCCCCTGCAGGGGGCAGCCTACACCAGGGTACCATCCAGTGGCTCACCACATGCACCAGATGCGTGTACTGGCTAACCGTAGAGAGTCATAGCATCATAGACTTAGGAATGGAAAGGACCTTAGAACTCAACTGAGCTTCAGTGGTCCCCTGTTGCCCCTGGGATACAGTTGTTGAAAGTCTGTTTTTACAAGCCGATTATACATTATTCCCTTCCATTCTCGGCATTCCTGACAAAGTGCTCCATTTACCATTCCCCGTGTGTGACGTTGCATCTGTGTACCTTCGTACAGTCTGTCCTCCACGCTTGGAATGTCCTCTCTCTTCTCACCTCAGTCTCTTGGAAACTAGTTTACTGCAAAGCTGGGCTTCCTTCTACAAGAAGTCTTTTCTGATTCTCCAAGTCATTAGTGCCAACCGGACCTGCCCCCTCCCCCTACTGTCTACCAAAATTATTCTTGAGTATATTCCCCACTTCCCAGGATTTTGTAAGCTCTGAAGGAAAGGACTAACTCCTTTTTGTCTCTGTATCCCCAATACCTAGCACTTAACCAATCGCCTAAAAAAAGTGCGAGTTGAATTGAATCTAATTCGGTTTCCTTATTTTACAGATGAGGAAACTGAGGCCCCAGGAGGGTCAGTGACTTATGCACAGTCACATAGCTAATCAGTTGCAGAAGTGGGTTCCAAACCCACATAGCTTATAATGCCCAAGTCCAGTCTCTGCCCACTAAGGGATGGGCATGGTGCCCGCTGGCTGGTAGCAGCAGCTCTATGGAAACAGAAAGAACCAGGCAGCTTTAAAGAGCTGTTTTTGAGTTTTTCCTCTAGTGTCATTTCTGTTCTGGCAGATGCTCAACCCTGGCACCCTGCTGTATTTACCCTGTCTTGGATTGGCTAGGATGAAAAAAGTATTTTCCTCTCCTCTTGCTGCAGGCTGACATTCGTGTTCCTACTCTTTTCTCCAGAATTTGTTTTTCTAGTCCTAGAATACTAGGGACTTGTTAAAATTGGGGGGCAGGGGGGCATCTATGTCCAGTGGTTCCTACTTCCTTGTCATCCATTCTCCCTAACCCATTGCAATCTCATTCCCATCTCTGCCACTCTAATAAAACTGTTCTCAGAGATCCCCAAAGACTACCTAATGGACACATCATACTGGTCTTCTCCCCCCCCCCCAGTCTTTATTCTTTTGGACCCCTCTGCAACCTTCAACACTGTTGGCCATCTTCTCCTGAAGACTTCCCTCCCTTGACCTCTGAACTCTTTATTCTCTTTTTATGTCTTGGTCATTATGCTTGTCTCCCTGGCCAGCCTCTTCTGAACCTTTATTTGATATTTCCCAAGAGTCTGTCCTTGCTTTTCTTCTTTGCCTCTTTATTTTCTCCCCTTGCAATCACATTCACTCCCATGACTTCAATGACCAGCTCTACACAAATGATTCCTAAATCTCTCTCTCTCTCTCTCTCTCTCTCTCTCTCTCTCTCTCTCTCTCTCTCTCTCTCTCTCTTCTCTCTCTCTCTCCCTCTCTCTCTCTCTCTCTCTCTCTCTCTCTCTCTCTCTCTCTCTCTCTCTCTCTCTCTCTCTCCCTCCCCAGCCCTGACCTCTGTCCCAAGCCCCAGGCCAACCTCATACTTTCCTTATCTTAAAATATGATGGTTTACCAATAAGGATAAACCTACAAGGACCCTTCACCTCCATGCACACATGTCTACATGGATGTCCCAGCTGTAGCTCAAATTCATCGTGTGTAAAACCAAGTTTTTTTCTTTACAGATCTACTCCTGACTTTGTCATTTCTGTCAGGAGTACCCCCATTCACCTAGTCTCCCAAGTTTGAATCTTCAACACTTTCTTTTTTTTAATATTATATAAAAATTTAATTATATATGAAGTAACAAGTCTTGACTGAAAAGAAATTATATCTTTGCCCTTTCTGTAAAAGTCCAAAGAAAAGTGTAACAATCAGCGTCTGTCAACACTCTTTCTTTCCCTTTTCCCTAACCTCCATAGAACCAACACTTTGCCAAATCCTGCCGACTCTACTTGCATAGTTATTCTGGCCTCTGTCCAGATGTAAGGAAAGAACAGGTCAATCAAATGCCCTGTGACTTCACTCATGACCTCTGTCACTTTCCTGATCAAAACAGCCTTCTCTGGTCACCTACCACTCCCCTGGTGGGTTGTCTTCTCTTCAGAATGTAAGCTTTCAAAGGACAGGGACCGATTTGCTTTTTGTAATTATATCCCAGGTGCCTAACACATAGTAGACATAATAACAGATGCCTTTTTTTTTTTAAAGGCATTGGGGTTAAGTGACTTGCCCAGGGTCACACAGCTAGTAAGTGTCTGAGGCCAATTTTGAATTCAGGTCCTCCTGACTTCAGAGCTGGTGCTCCATCCACTGTGTCACCTAGCTGCCCCCACAGATGCTTTTTTTAAAATTTATTCGGTTTATTCTTTTTACATGTTCCAGGCTTCATGCACTGCCCGTCACTGTGCCTTTGGCAGCAAGATTTACTTTACTGATGCACAGAGCTGGACATATGACTCCTCTACTCACTTCAACCCTTCCAACTCCATATTGGGAGGAGCTAGGTGGTTCAGCGGATAGAACACCAGGCCTGGAGTCAGAAAGACTCATCTTCCTGAGTTCAGATCAGGCCTAAGACACTTAATAGGTGTGTGACACCTAACCCTGTCGGCCTCAGTTTCCTCATCTGTAAAATGAGCTGGAGAAGGAAATGACAAACCACTCCAGTATCTCTGCTGAGAAAACCCCAAGTAGGGTCGTGAAGAATCGGACATGCCTGAAAAGTCTCAACAACAAAGTTCAACTTCCTTTACCTAGTTTTCAAAGCCCTCCACAGTCTGGCTTTACCCTACTTTTGTCCTGGTGTCCTTGTTTCATGCCACTCCCTTCCACATGTTCTACTTTCTGGCCTAACTAGGCATCTTACTGTCCTTTGGATGTTCCCACCTCTGTGCCTTTGCCTATGCTGTTCCCTGTCCCTTCTCCCCACGCAGCCTGTGGAAATCCCAGCTATTGTTGCTTCCTCAAGGAAGCCTTTCCCTTTATCTAATCTTTCATCCCTTCAAGCTGCTCATAGCATATTTTTAAAAAATTTCTCTTAAAACATTTATAAGGAATTTGTGTGTGTGTGTGTGTGAGATCTTGTGATTAGACAACTCCACAAGAGTAGAGACTGGATTGTCTTACAATCTCGTTTCTTTCCCATCACAGGGTTCTGCCTACAATAGGGATTTAATTAATGTTCATTATTTGAACTGAATCGAGTTCAGACCAGCCCTCATTTCACCAATGAGAAAACTTGAGTCCTGGAGAAGTTATGAGCTGCCCAAAGGAGACCCAGTGCCCCTCTTTGATGGCATCTCATCTCTTAGCAGTTGGGTGCTTTTACACCCTCTGGGCATCAACTGTTTAGTGGACACAGGCTGTGGTGGCGGGAAGCACTGTATTGGGAGTCAGAAGACCTGGGTTCAGATCCCAGCTCTGCTACTTATTTCCTCTGTCACTTAGGCTAAGGCACTTAACCTCGCTGTCCCCAGTTTCTTCATCTGTAAGAGGAAGGAATTGTGCTAGATAATCTCCAAGGCCCCCTCTAGTTCTAAGTCCTATGATTTTTAAAAAAGACAAACCCAAACCCGGATTTATTGGCCTGCCTTCCAATTGCCAAACTGTCTTGATTGCCTCATTTCCTTCCTCAGCCTCTGCCTTCGACCCTGTGGGTGAAGACAGCCGCCCCCAACAGACAGGGCCCTCCTTTCCTTAGAGTGAGTCACAGGTATTGGAGAGGCCCGTGGGCAGCTTGGCTCCAAGATGGGGCCCTCCCTTCCTCCTGTTTTTTTTTCCAGTGATCAGTCCCAGAGCTTGCTTCCCATTTTTTCCCCTCTACCCCTCATTTGCCTCCCTCCTATGGCCAATGGATTAAATGTGCTAGGTTTTTCTTTGCTTTAAAAGTGAGGTCCTTGTGGGAAGTCTTCTCCTCCTCCTCCTTCTCTCTTCCTCTCTCTCTCACTCTCTCTTTCTCCCCCTCTTCCTGCCTTTTTCTCTGTCTCTGTTTCTCTCCTTCTCTCTCCTCTCTTTCTCGCTCTCTCTTCCCCCTCTCTCTCTCCTCTCTCTCTTCCTCTGTCTCTGTCTCTGTTTCTCTCCTCTCTCCTCTCTCTCTCTCTTTCTCCCCCTCTTCCTTTTTCTCTGTCTCTGTTTCCTCTCCTTCTCTCTTCCTCTCTCACTCTCTCCCCCTCTTCCTCCCTTTTTCTCTGTCTCTGTCTCCTCTCTCCTGTCTCTCTCGCTCTCTCTCTTCCTCTGTCTCTGTCTCTTGCAGAGCTATGCATTTAGCTGGAAAGTTAACTCTGCAGATAGCTATGGACACCAGCAATCAAACTTGTCATTTTAAATGGTTTTTTTCCCCAGTGATTAGGACATTAATGGTGATGGTGATGATACCTAGCATTTATAGCACCTGTTATGAGCTAGACACTGTAATTATTATCTCATTTGGTTCTTGCAACACCAGGTGTTATTATTATCCCCATTTTAAATTAAGTGACTTGCTCAAGGTCACACACTAGTGATTGCTTGAGGTTAAGATTTTTACTCAAGCCTTCCTGACTGTCGATGCAGCTATCTATCCACTGTGCCTCTAGCTGATGGTTTTCCCTGGATCTACCCACACTCTTTCTTCCATCTGGACAGGAGCACAGACAGGCCCCGATTGTCCAAGATGTCTTGGCTAGGCTTAGCAACGTGGTCTGTGGTCATGGCCTTGTTCCTTCATAGGATGAAGCTGATACAGGGAACAAATCTACAGTATTGGCCTCACTGGATTGCTACTCCATCCCAGTGTACTGGAATCATGGGATCATTGATTTAAATGGAGGGGCCCTTAGAGGTTTCTGAGCCCTTTTCAGGTGAGTAAACTGAGGCCCAGAGTGTTTAAATGACTTGCTCCAAGTCACACAAGAAGGAAGTGACAGATAGGACCTGAACCTCTAGTCCTTGTGTGTCATGAAAAGTGTCAAATCCGCAGTGCTCAGCTTTCCTTAGAGTCCAACTCTCACAGTCACACGTTGCTACTGGAAAAACCATAGCTTTGACTATATGGACCTCTGTCAGCAAGGTCTTGTCTCTGTCTTTACTGTCCAGATTTGCCAAAGCTTTCCTTCCAAGGAGCAAGCATCTTTTAATTTCATGGTTGCAGTCACTGTCTGCAGTGATCTTTGAGCCCAAGAATATAAAATCAGATGCTGCTTCCATTTCTTCTGTTTGCCAGGAAATGGTGGGACCAGTTGCCAAGATCTTAGTGCTTTTTATTTTTATTTTTTTAAGCTTCAAGCCAGCTTTTACATTTTCTTCTTCACCCTCACCAAGAGGCTTCTTAATTCCTCTTTACTTTCTGCCATCGGAATGGTATCATCTGCCTATCTGAGATGGTTGTTATTTCTCCTCAACCTTACTTCCAGCTTTTGATTCATTCAGTATGGCATTTTGCATGATGTACTCTGCATATAAAGTAAATAAATAGAGTGACAATATATAACCTTGTCATACTCCTTTTCCAATCTTAAACCAATCAGTTTAATGTTTTGGTTCTAAATGTTACTTCTTAGCCTAAAAACAGATTCCTTGGGGAATGAGTAAGATGATCTGGTGCTCCCATTTCCTTGAGAATTTGCCACATTTTGTTGTGACCTACACAGTCAAAGGCTTTAGTGTGGTCAATGAAGCAGAAGTAGATGTTTTTCTGGAACTCCCTCGCTTTTTCCATAATTCAGTGAATGTTGGCAATTTGGTCTCTACTTCCCCTGCCTCTTTGAAAACCAGCCTGCTGAATCTACTTCCTTTATGTCTTTTTTCCTAGTTTCTTTGAAGTTCCTGACCTTTTGCTCTTCCAAATGAACTTCAGTAAATTCAGCAGTATCAGACCTTAAACTATAAGGGAGAGTGTTGTGTTTTGTTTGTTTGTTTTTCAGCCAAGGACAAGGTTTATGGATTAGGGTGGATAAGATTTAAAGAATCTGCCATTATAGCCACTCTTAAGGAATCTAAGTATCTGTATTGCTCATGCAAGCGGCCAGATGTTAAGAATCTGAGCACCTTAAAGGAGGCCAGATGGACCTTATATATAGAAAAACTGTGGGAGGGATCTAGGAGTGGCCAAATAGTCTAGGATGACTGAGGAACCTAGGAACAGAACACCAGGAACCTAGACCCCTGGCTAAGGGAGAATGGAGCCTAGATAGGATTAAGGGTGGGAAGTGGCTGGGGGGCTTAGGGAGATAAGACAGTGGTGGGCTAAGGCTAGGTTAAGGGTAACAGAATTGGGAAATTGGTCTTAGGTGATAATGAAAGGTCAGTTGATAGGATTATAGCCTCAGGAGAATGCCAGAGATTTGGCCGTGTAGGAAAGTCCAGGGCTTTTCCTTTTCCAGATCCCAAAGACCTGGTCTTTTCCTTTTAGGGGTTCAGACCCCACCCCCATCATTCCCCCCCCCAAATAAAAATAGACCCAAATTCTTTTGGGGTAAGGGGCAAAAGTCTTGGCTTCTGAAACTGCTTCCTGCTGGCAAGGGGCGTAGAGCTGTCCCTGCCTCTAGGGGGTCCTAAAGAAGAGATTGACTGAAACCAAGCACAGGCTGCAAGGGAGAGCATTGCTGAAGTGTAAAATGGATAATTTTGATTATTTTAAATTTAGAATTTCTTGTATAAATAAAACCAATGTAGCCAAGAATAGAAGGAATGCAGAAAATTGCGGGGAGAAACTTTCATAGGCCATCTCTCAGATAGGATGTGATTGGGTTGGAATATTGTTGTGGTGTAGGAAAGAATGAGCTGGTTGATTCAAAAAATATGAAAAGACTTGGACATTTTGAAGGAGGATGCTATCCACTTTCAGAGAAATATGTGACAAGTGGGAATAAGCATAGTACCATCTTACATATGTGTGTATGAGTGTATATATGTATATATTTATAGAATGTGTGTGTGTGTGTGTGTGTGTGTACACACACACATATATCTCCACAATTGTAGCTTTCTTTAGGGTTAGGGTAGGGAGGGAAGGGAAAAAATAAAGTAAAAAGTGCATAGCAGAAAACAAAAGAAAATCAAAAAGGAAGCAAAACTGGGCAGTTTTGAAAACAATACGTAGTATATATTATGTAGGTTTTCTTGAAATAGGAATTTATTGTTTTTATTGAATCCTCTCATATGGTGTACATGGCAATGTGTTTTTTTCTTTTCTCATTCTGTATAAGTTTAAAATAAAAAAATTTACAAAAAAGAAAAAGAATACCAACCCACTGTTCTGGTAATTTTTGGTTCACATATTGCTGAAGCCTAGCTTGCAGAATCTTAAGCATAATCTCGCTGGCATGTAAAATGAGCATTCCTTTCATTGCCCTTGTTTAGGATTGGGATATAAACCAATCTTCTGCGATCCAGTGGCCACGGTGGAGTTTCCCAAATTTGCTCCAATATTGCATGCAGCATTTTAACTGCATCATCTTTTAGGATTTTAAGTAGCTCAGCTGGAATCCCATCACCTCCACTAGCCTTATTGTTGGCTAGGCTTCCTGAGGCCCACTTGACTTCATTCTCTGGCTGTAACTGATCAGTATCTCCAGCGTGGTAGTTATCAGTGATGGGAAGCTCTTTCTTCTACAATTCTTCTGAAATAGTTTTGCTGCCTCTTCTTAATTTTTTCTGCTTCTAAGTCCCTAACATTTTTGTCTTTTATCATGCCCATTTTCTTGAAGAGATCTCTTGTCTTTCCCATTCTATTTTTTTCTTCTATTCCTTTGCATTGCATTTAAGAAAACCTTCTTATCTCTTCTTGCTATCCTCTGGAATTCTGGCCCACAGTTGTTGATTAACAAATGGTTGTTTAAGTTTTACGTGAGTTTTAGGTCACAGTCTGACTACCATTGAATCCTTCCTTGGAACAGAATTGTTAAGCAGTCTCACAGATACAGTGACCTTGTCTGATAGTGAATTCGGCTCCTATACCTGGAGACCACCACCTTTCTGTTGAGAGGAGGGAGGTGAGTTTTATCATCTGTCCTTCCGAACCACTTCTGGTAGCTGAGCTTAGATGCCTTTCTCAGTTGTTTCCGTTTGTTTATTGTTTGTTTATTGGAACAATTGTATCTATTGTTCTCTAGCTACTTTGTTCATGGAGGAGGTGGCATCTGAGTTCTGGCCTTGGAGGAGGAGAAAAATGTACACAGGTGATTATGAGTGGGGAAAAGTGTGTGTTTGGGAGCCTTTGCGCTTCATCCTGTAGGCAATGGGGAGCCAGTGAACATTTTTGAGCAACAGAGTAACATGATCAAACCTGTAGGTTAGAAAGGTTTGTTTGGGCCTCGGTGCTAGGAGAGAGATAATGGAACAAGTAGGCTAGAGACCAGTCTGGAAGGCCATTATTACCCTAATCCAGAAAAGAGACGAGGCCAGGATGGGGGAGGGTTGGGTGGTGGGACAGGAAGCCCATTGTGGCTGGAGGGGAAAAGACTGATATGAAACGGAACTGACCTAAATGCCTAACTGGGCAGATGGAAGTATCTGGTGATGCTACCGAATGACAGAGAAGCCACAAACTAGAGGTCTTATCAAGACATCCATAGCGGGGAAAGGATGTGCGATGCCGAATGGATAAGTGGATGCTCCTGCCCCATTGTTGAGGCTGGGGAAGTTCTGACACAAGATCTCAGATGTCCAGGTCAGAGGTTAGTCCGATTCCTGCGGGGGGGGGGGTCCTAGATCTACCCTGGAAAGCCTATGGTCTTGAGGACGTCATGAAAGAGGCAAGGGAAGGCAATGAGCACTTGTTAAGTACCCACTGTGTGCCATGCACTCTGAGGATGCTGCTGTTCGTCCTAAAACGTCATGGAGTGATGTCTTGATTTGCATGTGAATCAGACTGAAGTCAGGCAGAGCTGCACAGTTGTCAGCCTCACTTTCTCTCCCAGAGTCATCAAAGTCCAGCAGCAGGACAAAAGTCAGAACAAGTGGCGGTGGCCCGGGTTGCAGTGAATGCCCTCAGCATCTTTGATGTCTGACCAAACTCTCAGTGCTCCACCCTGATGGCCATTGAAATAAATTGTTCTCCTCTGCCCGTTCTACTGGGGCAAAGGTCTGCATAGACTTGGGGTAGATGCCCCCCTAACTCACCAACGGATTTGAGGGCTGTGGGTTACCCTCGACCTGGATTAGCCCATCTGTAGAGATGCTTTTACCAGGGTGTGGCTGCTGTGTGCACTACCGCTTCTTGGAGTTACGGGTGAGAGCTGGGTGACAGGTGGACGCCAGAGGTGGATTGGATAACCTGAATACTGATAACTGAGAGCCGCTTGCCCACTTGGTTTTAGTTGTGAGCTACATTACAGAGTATTTTGAACTCAGGTTAGATGTAGGGGATGAGAGGGGTTCAATCTACCCTTTAGAGTAGGTAGACCTACCCGGGAAGTCTGGGGAACTCCCAGATGAGTTCCTACTGATGCAGGTTGGCACCTTCTTAGAAAGGGCCTAAAGCCCTGAGAGTAACTCACTCAGGATCACTCGAGATAATGAGATAATATTTATGAAAGCACTTACTTATAACAGTGCTTGGTGCATAGTAGGGCTTGTTCCTTTCCCTCACAAAGTACTGTGTGTCAGAGGCAAGACCAGAGGAGAGTTGAGTGATTGTGAAAGTGAGAACCAAGGTCAGATGGTGACATTGCTGGAAGTCTAGAGACAAGCTTCCTTATTTATAGTGAGACCAGGTGGGGCAGCAAACTCTAGGAGCAGCCCTGTCCGGTTTGGCCAGAATGTAGAAAAGGGAACAGTGTGAAATAAGGCTAGAAAGGTAGGTGGGAGCCCAGTGGTGGAAGGCCTTAAATGCCAAGGTAATGAGTTTGTAAAGGGCAGCCATGCCAGGCCTGGAGTCAGGAAGATTCATCCTCCTGAGTTCAAATGTGGCCTCAGACACTGACTAGCTGGGTGACCCTGGGCAAGTCACTTCACCCTGTTTGCCTCAGTTTCTTCATCTGTCAAATGAGCTGGAGAAGGAAATGGCAAACCACTCCAGTATCTTTCCAGGAAAATCCCAAATGGGGTCACAAAGACTTAGACATGACAGTAGAATGACTGATTGACTGAAAATGAGTTTATATTTTATGGAGTAGAGAGCTATTGCAGACTTGTAAGCTGGAGAGAAGCATGATGAATGTTAAACTCCTTCCACCACCACACCCTTCCCCCCCCCCCGACCCCAATAAGGGGGATAATAATTCAGGTAATGAGCATGGGAGGGAGGAATAGGGAAGAGAGTATGTAGGACAGAACAGAAAATGAATGTAGGAAAACTAGTGGGGAGAAGCAGTAATCCAGGTGAGAGGTGAGGGATAAGAATCAACCAAATTTGGTAACTTATTGGAAGATGAGAAAAAAGGAAATGAAAAGTGGCTGAAATCCTTGATTTAAAAATAAAAGCAAAACCAGTTCCTGGAAACAATGTTGATCAGTTGGGGGATGGCCAGACAAGTTGTGGTCTGTGAATATCAAAGAGTAGTAACATAGCAATGTTGTAAGAAGAAATGAACACAAAGAAGCAGAGGAAACATAATCTAATGCTAAGCAAGGTAGGTGGAACTAGGAAAACAACATGTAAAATGACTGCATCAAGATAAAGGGAAAGGACAAGAGCAAAGCAATCCAAACTGAATGTGGTTTTAAAGTTTGACGCCTTGCATTCGTTTCTTCACAGAGGTGGGGGTCTATGGGATGGAATGTTGTAGACTTTCCCAACATACTGCTTGGTTTTGCTGAACTTTGGTGCCACCTTCTTAACTCTTTATCATGAGAGATGACTCTGGAAAGTGAAGGAGGGAAGGAATACACTGGAAATTTTGATATAAAAATAATCAATACAAATTTATTTTAAAAAATCAGTTCCCTACCCTTATTCCATGTTATGGAGCTGAAAGACTCAGTATATCAATTGCCTAAGCAAGGATTGCTTTTCCAGACTTCCCCATGAAAGAGAAATTGCTGGCTTTTGGACCCCATCAGAATAGTCAGGGCCCTGGACTCTGAGGGGCCGGCCTCTTCCTCTCCTTTTCTAGGTGCTTCGAGGCTTTTCTTCAGTGTGGGGGTGCCACCCCCTCCTCCAGTGTTCTCTCTGCCTCTCTTCGTTTTCCAGTTACCCTCTTCCCTGGAGTACTTGGCACATGGTAAGTCCTGAATAAATATTGAGTGATTGATTGTACTGATCTGGGTACTTCATGCATCCAGTCCCCACCCACTTCATCCCGGGAGAATATACACTCCTTGACAGAGGTAGGTGGTGCTGGGGCTGGAATTAGAAAGACTGGAGTTCAAACATGGCCTCAGGTACTCACTAGCTTCATGACCCAGGGCAAGTCACTTAACCTCTATTTGTCTTGGTTTCCTTATCTACAAAATGGGGATCATAACAGCACCTCCCTCCCAGAGTTGTTGTAATGGCCAAATGAGATGAGATTTGTAAACCACTTAGCACAGTGCCTGGCACATAGTAGGAACTATAGAAATGTTACCTATTATTATTGCCAGTTTTTATCATCAGGACAGCTAGTACTTTCAGCTTTAGCATAGGACTTTAACTGTAGTGTTTGAAAAATGTTTGTTGAATTTAAGGGTGACAATCCTTCCCATAGCTGTAGAAATGAGCTGAGTCCAACAGATTTGAGAAAATCAATGTCAGAGGCCCCCTAGGTCAATTCCTTCATCTATCAGATGAAGAAACTGAAACCCAAGGAGACTGCTTGACTTACCCAGGTTCATACAGAGAAAGTAAGCATCAGAGACAGGATTTGAACCCAAAGCATCTGACTCAAGAGTCACTGTGCCTTCCTCTGCAGCAAGCAGCTGGTGGGTATGCTCTAAAACCTCCTTTTCCCAGAAGGGAAAAAATCAGCCCTATGCCTTGAGGGAGGAGTAGAACAGGTCCCAGAAAATAGTGTATATCCTCTTCTTTTGAAATAGAGGCTTGGGGGCAGCTAGGTGGCAAAGTGGATAGAGCACCAGCCTTGAACTCAGGAGGACTGGAGTTCAAATCTGGCCTCAGACCAAACACTTGACACTTACTAGCTGTGTGACCCTAGGCAAGTCACTTAACCCCGACTGCCTAAAAAAAAAACAAAAAAGAAAAGAAAGAAAGAGATAGAGGCATCAGAAGTTAGGTGAATCAGAAGGGCCTGGGTGTGATCAGTGCTAGGCACTGATCTATGTACGTCTGGTACTTTAATAAATGCTTGTTGATTGATTGATCCAGAAAGGATGGGGATGCTACTGTAGGCTGTTTTTACTTCGATGTTGTTCCTGGCCAGGAATACAAGTGAGAACCGTATGTGCTCCAGGAAGAGAATCAGGGAGTCTCAGAGTGGGAAGGGGCCTTCCAGGATATTTAGTGTATCCTCTAACATGATTAACGAATCCCCTCTAGTCTCCTGAAAGCTGGTCCCCAGAAGTGGGGAGAACTGAGTTGAATCCAGATCTGTTATTTAAAAGGAAAGTGAGAAAAGTTATTTTTTTTTCCCCTTGGAGTTGGTGAGAAGACACAATGAGCCGTCACCATGTGGGAGCACCTGACTGAAGCTGCTGAGCCTTCTGGGCCAACCTGTGACAGGAAGTGTCATTTCAGGCCTCCTGTCACCCCCCCTCCCCTTCCCTTCCAGCCTGGAGAACCAGGTCATCTCTGCTTCCATACTTATTGACCAATCAGCTTAGGGGAGCCGCGGGCGCGTGTCTGGGAAGAGACACCAAAGATTTATTAAATAGCTGTATCAGGGTTAGGCACTGTGCTGGGAGCAGTGAGGAAGGAAGTCGGGGTCGGGGGAGAGGGAGGGCAGCGGTTTAGCTCAGTGTAAAGATGGATCTTTGTAACAGAGCTGTGCAACAGTGGGAAGGCGCTGCCTGCCTTGTGAGGTCGAATCACTGAAGGACGTTGGATGGCCTCTCAGGGGTTCAGTCAATCTATCAGTCAGCCAACAAGGGTTTGTTAAGCACCTACTCCATGCCAGGCACTGGGAATACAAGCACAAAGAAGGAGACAACCCCATCCTCTCAATGAGCTAGTATTCTAATAGACAAAGTAAGTCCACATAAAAATGTAATGGTCATCTACTTTCCTAGCCCCTTATTTTACAGATGAGAAAACTGAGGCATGGAGAATTGAAATGACTTACTCAGGGTCACAAAGCTAGTGTCTAAGGCAGAAAGTCTTCCTATCTCTCAGTCCATAACTAAAGACCCCATGGAGAAATGATAACTAGAGATACCAAGAAATAAGAGCCTTTGTAACTTTAATGAATTTAACAAACCTTTGTTAACCATTTGCTGTATGGGGAGCGCTGGGCCAGGCACAAAAACGAAGCATCCTCTGCTTGGCTGAGGAGGCTTTCTGTTTCCTTGTTAAGTGGCAGGTGACAATTGAGTGCTTACAGTGAGTCAGCTAGGTGGGGGGGGGTGGCAAGAGCACTGGATCTGGAGTCTGGAGGACCAGAGTTCAAATCTGGCCTCAGGCACTTAGTAACTGTATGAGCCTGGGCAAGTCACTTCACTTCAGTTTCCTCATCTGCAAAATGTGAATACTAGTAGCACCTACCTTCCAGGATTGTTGTGAGATAAAACATGTAAAGTGCTTAACACAAATGCCCAGCGTGTAATAGGGGCTATGTAAATATTATTCCAAACTCTAAGTTTGAATTATATTGCATTCTGTTATAAGTTTATTATATCCTATCCTATTTTATTATATCATCCCCATTTGAGGTTTTCTTGGTAAAGATAGTGGAATGGTTTGTCATTTTCTTCTCCAGCTCATTTTACGGATGAGGAAACTGAGGCAAACAGGGTAAAGTGATTTGCCCAGGATCACACAGCTAGGAAGTGTCTGAGGCTGGATTTGAACTCAGAATGATGAGTCTTCCTGACTCCAGGCCCCTCACCCTATCTTCTAACCCACATAGCTGCCCCTTTATCATATCCTATTATATCCTACCCTATTCTATTCGATCATACCATATCATATCATTATATCATATTGCATCATATATTACTTTATATCATATTATGCTATGTTATATTACGTTTTCCTTCCCTGTAAAATAGGAATACTAGTATCACCTGCTTCCCAGGGTGGTTTTGAGGATCAAGTGAGATCATATCTATAAAGCACTTATAAATGTTAGTTATTATTATTTCAAACCGTGAATGCTGGAGGAATTGGGAAGAGGGAAGAATCTTTTTCAACCAGAAGTAGTGAAAGAAGACTTTTCAGAGGTGGTGGGATTAGGCCTTGAGGCATGGAAGAGTTTGGATGGGCTGAGGAGAACCAGGCAGGGAAGGCATTTCAGAGTGGGAAGAGTAGCATTAGCAAAAACGGGAAGCTCTTTCAGGAGACACTGAGTAAGCTGCTTGGGCCAGAGCAGAGGCTGTGTGTGGGTAGAGGACGGGAGTCGAAGCTGCCAAGGTAAATGGAGCCAGACTTTAGAGGCCCTGGAATGCCAGGCTAAGGAGTGTGGAGGAGACGTGGAGACAGCAAAGCAACCAGACAGAACTGGTGTCTGAAGTCAGATCAGCAGGGAGAAGAGAAAGAAGGAAGTGGCAAGGGGCTAAAAGTTAGATATCTCATTTAAAGAAATTTTTTTATTGATGCCTTTTTGTTTTATGTTACATTCATTTCCCAAAATGCCCTCCCTCCTCTCCTAACCAGAGAGCCTTTCCTGACAACAAAGACTAAAAAGAGAAAGAAAAAAAAGCCAAAACAGCAGTTCAGCAAAATCACCAAACATTGCAACCCTGTTTGAACCTGTATACAACATTCCCCACCCATAATCCCCCACCTCTGTGGTGAAAGGAAGGTGCATTTTCTCCTTTCTTCTCTGAGGCAAGGCTAGGTTATAATTTTTATTATTATTCTTAATATCAGCATGGTATCAATATAATTATGATTATATAGTTTATATAGAAATCTATAAAATAATATAATTGTACTAATTACTCAGCACTCAGCTGTAGTTTATCATTGGTTCTGTTTATATTATTGTAGGTATTGCATTTGTTGTTTTTCCTGTTTCAGCTCACCTAACTGGATCCTTTCATATAAATCTTCTTAATTCTCCATACTCATTTTCTCTTACAACATGGTAATCAATGTACCATAATTTGTTTGGCTGCACCTCCAGTGGATAGAAACCAGCCCCCTGTCCAGTTATTCATTAGAATCAAAAGTGTTGCTATAAACATTTTGCCATGTATGGAGACTTTCTTTCTTTCTTTGACTTTCATCTTTGGAGTATGTCTGTGTCTAGTTGGAGTCAGGAAAACATCTTCCTGAGTTCAAATCTGGCCTCAGACACTTACTAGCTGTGTGACCCTGGGCAAGTCACTTAAGCCTGTTTGCCTCAGTTTCCTCACCTGTAAAATGAGATAGAGAAGGAAATGGCAAACCACTCTAATATCTCTGCCAAGAAAACCCCAAATGGGGTCAGAGAGAATTGGAGACAACTGAAAAATGACTGAACAACAAATGCCTAGCAATGAGATCTCTGGGTCTCATCGCGTTGTTAAAAGCCCAATTCCCTATAGATTTCTAGAATAGTTGGACCAATGCACAGATCCACCAAGAGTACATTAGTGTGCCTCCCTTCCTGTTATCCCTCCAGCATTAACTGTTTCCGTTTGTCATCATCTTTCTCAGTTTAGTAGGCGTGAGGTGAAGCCTCAGATGTGTTTCAATTGGCATTTCTCTTATTTTTATTTCTTAATTCAGAGCAAGTTTTGTAAATAGGATCATAGATTTAAAGCTGGAAGGCACCTCAGAAGACATCTAGGTCAGCCCTCTCATTTTACAGATAAGAAGACCAAGGCCCAGAAGCTTAATGACTTGCCCAAGTTGTTGTTCAGTCATGTCAGTCATGTCCAACTCTTCATGACCATTTTAAGTTTTCTTGGCAAAGATGCTGGAATGGTTTGCCATTTCCTTCTCCAGCTTATTTACAGATGAGGAAACTGAGGCAAACAGGATTAAATGACTTGTCCAGGGTCACACAGCTAGGAAGTGTCTGAGGTCAGATTTGAACTCAAGTCCTCTTGACTCTAGGCCCAGTGCTCTATCTACTGCACTACCTAGCTGCCCAAAGTTGCATACAAAGTGTCGCAGGTAGGATTTGAATCCAGGTCCCAAGCT